TACAGAAATTTTGTTAAAGCAAAACAACACGTACCCTGAGAATTAATTTCACCATAATTCAACAAGATGGCACGGGGTGCAACGAAGAGTTAAGGAGTCGAAAACGAGGTTATCTCATACCGAATGCATGATATAAAACCGAGCTGCATTGCAAGTATCTTTTACATTTTTTTATTTCTTCCATCGGTAATAAAAAGAATGTGCCCAGTATTTTTTAACCACTAAATATAGAGAGACGGAGTGCATTTGATTAATTGCCTGTAGCTATATGAGATAACGCTTGCTGAGTTATTTCATATAGGCACACACGTTCTTCCTTGATATTAATTATTATATTAATTTTAATTTTCATCTGCTATTTTTTTGCTCCAGCTAAAAAAAGTGCACGAAGGATTCTTTAAGCAAGTGCTGATAATTTAAAGAAATAACATCATTGTACAGACCGCAATCGTCGGCATAAAAACGAATTTAAAGCGGCCTGTTTTTACTCATTAATATACAGAAAAAATAAGTCTTCCTATCACAGACCTCTGCGGTACACCGCATCCAACCAAAGCCCTTTGAAGAAGAAGCAGTCTCAATCGAATCCAATTGTGAGCTGTCTTTCAAATAAGCTGTAATGCAGTACATTAAACGTTTATTTATATGTATAACACTCAGTTTTAAAAGTTGTTTTGCATGAGAAACTTTATAGAATCCTTTCGAATAATCTATGATATATCATCAACTCAACCTTTCTTATTCAAAGATGAAGCAATGTCGTGGCTGAATTCCAGGAGTTGCGCGGTGGTTTAAAAATGACGAAGAAAACCATGCTGCTGGAGTCCAATGCTTGAAGTTTCTTCGATATATTCAGTGATACGCTTGTAAACTATGTCTTGGAGTTAGCTATAGAAATATGACAATTAAATTGGTCTGTAATTCACGAGGCTTCGTTTGTTACATTATTTCAACATTTATTTATTTAGTATTTATTGAGATTACCTGCATCGCATCGGAAACATTATTGGAGGGGACGGTTATCAAAATACATTTCAGATGAAAATACAGAGGGAAGCGCATTTTCATTAAGCATACGCCATTCTAATGCTGTTCCAATAAAAAAAAATGATCTACGACAATAGTTAATAGTTGCAACTTTCTATTAATGGTCAACTCTTTCTAACACGTAGAAAGAATATCGGATGCCATATCCTTTATTGGTGCAAGTTTTATAATTAAAGAGACAATAAAAAAAAGTTTTCAACTTAAAATGATCCGTCTGCTTGAGTGCAGTTGGCAGTGTAACAGTTCTTTATAGCCGCGGCGCTTGCTTTGGACGTATAATTATTCAAAATAAATCTGGCCCACCGTCTTTGTACTCGTTATAATTCATCCGACAGACTTTTAGTTTGTGGGGCCCCCCCAAACTATGCATGCATACCCCAGAACTGAACGAACAAAAGAAAAATTATATAAACTTTCCTCAGTTTTATTTATTTTTGTTTTGTTTTGGGCAATGTCGGAAATTGCGACATAAAAATCCTAACATGTTTTTTACTTATTCCTTATAATATTAATATGACTATTCCATAGTGACTTCGCTTGAAAAAATAACACCGAGATAACGAATTGCATCTGTTTTATCAAGTTGATTGGCAATGGGGCATAGCCCATACGTTCTCTATCTTCCCTTTTTCTTGAAAATCTAACTATTTTACATACTATTACATTCAGCTCCATTCGCCAATTGCTGTCCCAATTTGACGCACGGTCGAAGTCTAGTTAAAGTTCAAAATGACCTTTGTCATCCTCCATTGTTCTGTATATGACGGAATCGTTAGCAAAAAGCTCAGATCGTGAAGACATATTGGAGCAGATGTCATTATCATGTGTCAGAAGGAGCAGAGGCCCCAACACCGAACTTTGAGGAACACCAGATGTCACAGTCACGTTATTGGAAGAACAGCCCTTCAAAAGTACACATTATTTTCTATCACTCAAGTAGTTACCAATAAAGACTAAACATCGAAATTTATACCCAAACACTCTAGCTTACTTTTAGTAACATACAATGGTCCACTTCGTCGAATGCCTCAGCCATATAAAAAAAAAAATAGAATCTACCACTTTTCCGGACTCGATTACAAGCGCGATGTTATGATAAAATTCAACTAACAACTTTGTACACGATGCACTGGAGCGGGAACCATATTGCTCTATTGTAAAATAGTTATGTTTGTCTAAATGTGCGATGACGCTTCTTTATACAACATGCTGAAGAATTTTACATATGATCAACGTCAATAGGATAGACTGATAATTACTAACAGCATTTTTGCAACTGCTTTTGTGGTTGAGCATGGCATTTGCAGATTTCAAATCATCTGGAAGCTTGTGTTCACATAAGAGTTTTGTAAAAATAATTTGTAGAAAGCACGGCAGGTTAGATGCGCAGCTTTTAAGCACAACAGCAATGTTGGCAGGCCCGCTAGCTTTCGACGTGTCACAACTAAGCAGCAGCTTTTCGATTACCTTTTAAGTGATTGATAGACAACGACATTGGATTATACCCTAGATTTACTGAACGGGACGTGTATACCCAGCCGGAATCTTGGCGTTGAAAGCGGATTTACAGTGCTCATTTAAACAGTTGGCTATCGCAGTGTCGCCAGTGACATCAGCGCCTTCGAAAGGGGGTGACGGCATGGCTGTGTCAGGCTTCTTGTTGCTCTTCACAAATCGCCAAAATGAGAGGTGGTACCTGAAGCTCTGCAGGCGGCCTCAATAACAAGAACAGATTTTTCGACATGAACCTAGCACCACTAGGAATCTGTATTTTATCTTTCAAAGTATACTTTTTACGGATTTGATTGATCACAATTGCTGGCTATAGTCTATAGCCCACAACTCATGCAATTTTAATGTCTTGTAGTCTATAGCCTATGGGTGTTTTCATCTCAAAACGGGCAGGCTAAAAGGGTCTAATCTTTATTTTTCACGAAAAAAATATACGTTTTGGGGGCATTTCTCAAATGAAGGAGGGCGCAAACCGCATGTTTCCCAGATTTTTAGTTCTCGAGGTACGAGCCGTAGAAGCCGCAGTGGCAGAAACTAGTGTTTTCGCCTGTCGTCGCAGGCCGCATGTTTGACACCCTCTGGTGGCGCTAGTGTTTTGTCTACACCCTTTTAACTTTTCCCCCTCGTTTAATAAGTACTATAAAAATACCTTCACATATTCAAATATCTCTAGTAGTTTGATTGTTTTTTAAACAAAATGTCAAACTCGTTACTCAGGTCGATTTCTGGTCAAACGAGACAGGTCATCACTTTGTCCGTACTTAAGGTACAATTTATTTATTTGGCCCTATAGAAAGCCCTAAGCATGCCTAGTATAGATATAATAATATCATTATGATCTGCTGAGTAGCCGCTCTGCTACCTTCACGTAAGCGTTGTGAAAAATAACAAAAGTTATTTTTGTTATTTTTATATATACAACCAAAATATTGCCTTTCTAGACTGTTTTTTCTTGTAGTCGACTACTATGTCTAAAAGAATTAAAAAAATAAAAATCTACAAAACTGGAGTTTTTGAGAAAATCGACCTTTAAACTTTCAACATTTGTTATTTCTTACAACGTTTACATGAAGGTAGCGGAGTGGCTAGTCTAGAGATCATAATGGTATTATTATATCTATAATTGGCTTGCTTTGGGCTTTCTGTAGAGCCAAAAAAAATTTACCTTAAGTACAGACAAAGTAATGACCTGTCAAAGTTGACCAAAAAGCGACCGCAGTGACGAGTTTGACATGTTTTTTAGAAAACAATCAAATTCCTAAACATATTTGAATACGACAAGGTATCTTTATAATACCTATTGAATGAGGGGCAAACGTTAAACGGGTGCAGAAAAAACACTAGCGCCAGCAGAAGGTGTCACACACGCGACCTGCGATGGCAGGCAAAAACACTACAGGGTGAAACAAGGAGACGCCAGGCTCTTTAAATCGACCGGAAAATTCGGTTTCTTAAGCTATGGCGCTGCAACTTCGCGCAGCGTTGTTCACAGATGGTGTATTTTTTTTTTTTTGTAAAATTTGCGAAGAGCGAACTTACCTGAGGAAAAAGTAAAGGAAGAAAAAGGCTTAGCTCCCATGGAAACGCAGCGACGCCACCGGTCTGCAAACCACACGGCGCCGTTTCGCACGGGAGACAAGAGTGTTGTTAATGTGTACATGTACATCGGTGTTCTTGTTACCGTTGTTTCGTCCTATATATGTGAGTGTCGTAATAGCCGCACCACACGCCTGCTGGTATGGGCTGCTCCACTTATTGCGGTGCCGTAACACTCGCCAGTAGAGTAAGGATTATTATATACTGTTACGATCACACAACCATATTAGGATTTAGAGCTTGCAAATATTGAAAATCACTTTTACTTTTCAATGAACGAGAGCACCTAAAAAGGCAGGGTTTCAGTAGACACACACATTGTGCCCCAAGAGCTGTTTCTCGATTTGTCTGAGACCAGACCTTTAAAACAAAGATACCTTATTACCGCGAAAAGTAAAACACCAATTCGACGAATGAGCACTTAATAATGTCCTTAATAAAGCCCCCTGGGGCATCAAGTCTTCTTCTTTATATTTTGATTTTCTATTATTAAACCAGGAAATGCTCTCAACCCCCACCACCCAATCTCAAAATTTTGTTCGTCTGTTTTTCCGTTCGTGCGTTTCCCACTAAAGTTAGCAAGGAGATTGATGTCAGGTGATTTAATCAAACAATTCAGCTTGCCCGCTAAACTTAGCAGAAAATTTGATGTTACGTGACTTGACATCATCTGAACTTAACGTTTTATACCTTTAAGTTGGCGCCACGTGACCTATACTATACAAAACTGTAAGTAATTTTCTAAACAAATTAACAAAATTACTTCTTAAATACTGAATTTCATGCATTATAGCACTTTAAAAGTAAAGGTCGTTACCTTTTTTTTTCAGAACAGTTGACTTACGATGATTTTTCTGCTGGCTTTCATTGTGCTGGGATCATCAGCATCGACGTCACGCCCACACATTATATTCATGCTTGCGGATGACATGGTGAGCTAGTTGACTAAGATTTCTCCTAGCTGTAAAGTTAGTTTACGCTGAACGTACAGTTTGAGAGTAGTGGAAATGGCGGTGGAAGTGATCACTGGAAAGAGCTGTCAAATTACACGCTGCTGTTATCTCGCTGAGACAAATTGTCGTCTTCAAGTGTAGTGCCTGCTGATTAAACTGAAATCGTTTTACAGCGGCAGCAGTTAACATTCCTTAACGGCGAAAAACAATGATGTTCGAAAGCAAAAAATACCCGTGATCCTGGAGAGATGATGCTCTCTCCCTCTTCGGCATTCCTCGCGTAACTTCCGATGCGGCGAAATGAAGCGCACACCCCGGTGGCACGCCACGAGAAAGAATATACTCAGATGTTTTATTATCTGCCTTCACTATATGTACAGTTTTGTTTTTAGATATTTTAAAATTCATGCATAAAGACGCCCCCCCCCCCCCCTCCCCTATCGCGGCATAGCAGAGTCCGTCGTAGATAGCTTTCTGGCTTACTGAGACAAAAGCGCCCTTAATATCGAGGAACACTGGCGCGGTGATTCTTCGGAATTCCTTTTGTTTATTTGGTCCTTCTCTTTGACCCTCTCCCTATCGCCGCCGCCTATTGTCTTGGAAAGGTGATGATCGCGCTTTTACTGGCGCAATGAAAACGGAGTTCACATTGCGCCAACTCAATGTCTAAAATGCATTAAGCAAAAGAATTCGAGGCAACAGGACAAAAATTACACCTGGTGTAAACAGCCAGTTTTTTATAAAATGATCTAAAACACGGTGAAAAGCAACTGAATTGCATTCACCATGTAAAAAAAAAAAGTCAGCCTTTCCACTCTGGTGAAAAAGGAAGACCAGCGAAGCTGTCCTATGGTGGAAATGAAGTGATGGCCGGCAGCAAGGAAGCCAGCGTGGAAAGGTTGCCGCCATCTGTAAATAAAAGCGGCAACCAGACAACTGGCAAGCCGGTTGTCTGGTTGCTGCCGTCGTTCATAAATAACGGTGCCTGTCCGGAGTGTTGTGACGACATTTATTTGCTGGCGGACACGATCCTGGGGAAATTAGCCACACACAGCTCCGCTCTAAAACATTGAATGAAAAGGAAGATGACCTAAAAAACGTTCAGGGAAGCCAGACTTACGGAATTGATGGTGAAATGGGCAATGCCATGGAGATGCGCAACACTGTACGCCCTTTCCTACAATGGTTAAAGAGCTTTCCATTTTAGCTGCGAAGAAGGTACCACTGCGTCAAGCGTGCGTGGCCAGTCCTCAGGCTGCAGAGCAGAACCTCCACACGCCGTTCCTTGTGAAACAAGTTATCCCACTTTACCAAAATGGCCATAATGACAGGAAGTTTATTATCTCATTTGCTGTTCCACTGTAACTGCCATGACATCAAGAGTGATTTCTTCGTAAACGGTTTCAAAACTTAATGGGGTAAGCCACAAGTTTCTATTAAATCCTTGGCAGATATAGCCAATATGTTGGCTTTCGCATATCCTTTAATCTCAACATGATTCGTAAGCCACCAACAAAGTTTTAGGCTATGTCTGAGTTCAAAGTCTTCATTTAATTTACTTCATACATTTAGGTTAAAATATTATTTGTAGGACGGCAAGAAACGGCCAGTAACACGCATTGAGAAACTACAAACATAATAATTCAATTATTGGACCACATATTGGATAACAATTATATTGTTATCCAATAAGTGGTCAAAAGCTAGCATAACGTCACAGAGCTTTGCGGTAAAGATGATTGCTGCACAGTTAAGTTGAAGAGCGTTATGAAGGAACCAGTATATACTGCCCAACTAACAAATGACGAGGATTTCGACCCATGGGTATAAAATTCATTGTAATCTTTATATGTCGCCTACAATGAAAGGAACGCCTGCTGGAAAACTTGTGGGGATACAGCCCTCTAACTGTAGTTTGTTAGTGTTTATTTGGAGAAAATTGGAACTTCGTCCGAAGGAGCTATTCTGCCCCTGTAATTTAGCACGGCAGCGGTATGAAGTGGGACACGAAGAGAAACACTCTAACTATAAATGCAAAACTTGAGTGGCCGTACAATGCTCCACTTGTTTAAAAAAAAAAAGCCAAGAGAAACGACAGATATAAATGCACTGCAAGCTGGGTTTTGTGGATTAGAATATGCCCTGTAAGCATAAGAAAGACTCAGGTACTGCTTGCGTTTTTCAATATACATATAATGCGTATCGGCATGTAAGTTTTCAACAGGCGGTATGAAAAATGCAGCAGAGGCAAGTTGGTACCTTAAGTGGTGAACTGAATCTATTGCATTTTTAAAGTAGATGTTCATTGCTGAATCATACACGACTGCACCATAGTCAAGGCAATGCCGAGCTAAGAAGTTGTATAATCGTAAAAGACATCACCCGCTTGACCCCCATGAAATCTAGGACAACACTTGAAGAACTTTAGCATAAGAGTTTCAACTCCTTCAAATTGGGCACACAAGTAAACTTATTGTCAAAGTTAAAAAAAAAAAAAAACAGCGCGACTGAGAAAAGGACAAGCAGGCGTAGAGAACGCAAGACAAGGGCTGACTACCAACTACTAACGACTGACAACAACTATCAATTAAACTAGTGTATTATATCAATGACACGTCAAACCTGTCGAGCAATGATTGAAGCCTACAACATCACGAAGAACAACAGCTCGTGTGTGAGAAAACTTCGTTGACACTAACCCCCAGCGAGATTAACTTTCTGGATTGAGGATAACAAGAGCACCTGAGGAAGGAAGGAAGAAAATAATATTTCTGTATTAATGTTTAGGAGATTGCCTGAGATGAAAGAAGACGGTGACATATTTCACGAGGCGCCTAGCAAGCGCGCGAAAATTTGGCTCCATGTTTTATTTTATTTTCTTTCTTCCTTGTGTTCTAATAACAAATCAGTTGTTAGTCAGCGCTTCGCTTGTTTTCATTACGTCATTTTTGTCCTTGTCCCAGTCGGGCTGTTTTTTCAACATGAACTCTCACCAACTTGCGCAGTTTTTTATCCTAATCATTTATTGTTAAAAATTACAGCGAGATATTTGTGTTTCTGTTGAACAGATGTGTATACGTTATTGAGATGCAAAATGAGGTTCAAAGGCGAACCTCGGCGCTATCAGAAAGAGCAGAAGAGTTGTTTTCGTGTATGAACTGGGCACAGTTTTCATCTGCCCATTTGCTTATCCTGTTGATAGTAAGTTGTAGTTGCCACTCGCAACTGGAGAGTTTATATGAAGAGAAAGGTCTCCAGGTCGTCTACATAGAGGGAATAAAATACCGATTTTGGTATCACCTTTGCAAGACTTGGTTTTAACAGCGAAGAGTAACGCTCAGGACTGCTCCTTGGGGGACCCCATTTTGTTGAGAAAAAACACCTGACGGTGTGCCGCTTAAGCGAACCGGAAAGGTTCGTTCAGTTAAAAATTTTTGTATGCATTAGAGCAATTGGTCACGCATGCCGCGGTTGTACAGATCCCGAAAGGGCACGATACCTCCATGCATGTATTATAAAGTTTTTGCGCGCACCAAATATACCTAGACACAGTGCTGCCGGTGTTCAAGTGCCTCACGAACAAAGGTTTTTAAAACAAACCAAATGATCTGTGTCTGTTCGTCCCTCTCGAAATCCAGACTGGTTAATATAAAAAAAAAGTTTATCAGCCTCCAAGTAATACAGAAGATTCCGATTGATGAGCCTTTGATATGTCGGTCCCCAGGAAACTAGTTAGTCTGACGGGAAGGAAGCTTGTGGGGATGGAGAAAACTTTACCAGGTTTCAAGAGAAGTAAACGTGAGCACATTTTCTTCAATGAAGGAAGGCAGCTTGTTTTTACAAGTGATTAACAAAAATCACAAATCGCGAAATGACTCAGGGCAGGTGTCTAAGCTTTCGTAATGAAGTTTTTGTTGGCCTGGTGCGGCCTCCTTTTTTGTAAAAAGTGCCACTTCGGGTTCGCACGTGGTGAGTGGTTTGTTGTATAAAACAGGTGAAGGACCCTAACAAGGAGATAGGCGGCTTTTCAGCAGTATACTGGAATTCCTTAAACTTTGCACTGATTGCCTCGTGATGAGCAGTTAATGTTATTCAGGAACATTTGCTTGGTCATTAAGCGATACAGTAGGGGAAAAAAAGAGGAACTGGAAAATATAAGTAATCTCCTCGGATTTTCCGTAGGCGCTCCCACACATCTTTGAACGGAACAGAGCAATTTAAGGATGAAGTATATTTAACCCACAATGCCCTTTTGTCCTGTTTTCTTGTTCACTTCACCCAGCCTTGGCCCTGCTTTTTTTTAAAATTCAATCTAATTAAGAGCAGCCGGATATCGGGGGAAAATTCCGCAAGACCTATTCTGTTTCTTTTGACTTGACCTGTACCCTCCGTTCAACCAGGGTTTGCATCTCCTACGTGTATTACTAGAGGTTTCTAGGAAAGACCATACAGCGGCATTAAATAAACATTCTGTAACATAAATTGTCGCCTATTCTGCAGATGTACTAGTAAATAGGAATCAATCAAAAAAAAACTTCTGAACGAAATGAAGTCCTGTCGGTGCGGAACTAGTTGCTTCCGAAAAGAATATTTAAAATTTTACACGAAAAGCATGAAAGTAAAGATGGTGATTATACGGAAATATCTATTTAATTGAACGTGTTGCAGATAGAGTTAAAACAAGTTAACTCTCTTTTTCAAAAGGCAGAGTTGGGATGATAATAAAAGGCGTTAAATAACTCCACCGTGGGAAGCTTGAGGAGAACTGCGCAACAAAATGGGGGGGGGGGGGGGGGATTAAAAACACCAGGATTAAAAATGGTTAGGTAGCTTATCTACAAGTCATTGGAGTTTATAGAAATTGAGTGAATTATTATGTAAAAGGTAGAAAAAACAATGGTGATGAGACGATTAAAAGGGACACGAACTGCCACTGCCTCAAGTAGTGTTTGAAGACAAACTGGGGCACACACAAGCCCACTCTGCATTGCCACTGCAACAACACTGGAAGAATTGGGGGAAGGCCGTCCCTCTTAAAACTTGGTGACGACGTGAGATCTGATATTGGTTTTCAGTGAGATGAGTCTCTTGTAAACAGATGGCCGCGATGCAGAGCTCATCAAGAAAAATGAGTGCGTCATCAGTAATACGAAGGCCACGACGGGTCTATTGCATGACAGCTACGTGTTTACTCATAGCAATGTAAAGCTTAAAATAGAAAAAAAAGCTTCAAAACGAAAGGAAGCAGTAGGGAGGAGTTACTGTGATTTAAAATCACACTTTATTCTTGAAGCGTTTTTCTTTTTTGACGTATCTGTCTGCCTCCCAGTTGAGTCACTGGGGCCAGAAATAGAGGACACTGAAGCGATGAGAGAGACCTATCAATTCGTAGCCGTTTGTGCTGTCATTCATCTGCCATCTTGGTGTCACCATGGCTGGTGCTTCCCCACGCAACTAAGCGCTAGTTCTTTGTTTAAGAGAATCGCTTCTGCTGTGCTAACGTTTGTTACAAAGGGTTGCCCGTTTGTGAAAAGGCAAATGTGACATTGACTTTTAGTTGGACAGGCCGACGCATTAATCTTAACATAATATATGCAGTTGTAAGAATGAAAACGACGTGTGCGATAATGATTTAAAAAATACCTTTTGCTCCTCTCAAATCCACTTTTACGTGCTCCAAGAGCTGTTACAAAACGACTTAGACTAATTACATCATTGATAGACAAATATTCAGAAGAAAAACGGGCAGACATAATGGTGCACGGCGTCAACGATCTTCCTTTTAATTCCACAAGTCTCGTTGGCTCGCCTTCCTCAGGGGGACACAAGAATCCAAGCAACCGCTTCCTACCTCAAGGACGACGTTCCGCACTCAAGCGCCTTTATACGCGACTCTGCGTATGGGCCATAACGATTTCGACGCTTGTCATGAAACCGATTGACAAAAAACTACAATATAAAACAACCTGATCCACTGCCATACTAGATTATTTTTACCGCCCGAGCATAGTTCCCTCCTTCTCTCCGCTGCTGAGCTGATGCCACAGCGCTGCATAGCCAAAGCCTGACGGCACATACCGACATTTTCGTTCGAGCGCTGTAGGTACAGTTGCGACATGTAGGCGTGTAGCGTTCTGAAGAGCCATTTCGCCAAGCTAGAACATGCAGTGGCGTTGACACACAGACGGCTGCAGTCAAGAGGCAATAAGAACGTTCTGTCGTCGCTAGAGGCTTACCAATAGTAAAAGAAATCATAGGCCACATGGCGGCGCCCGGTGATAGCGTTGAAGTGGCCGATTTTGGGAGGATCTCGCTGTTTTGCTACTACTGCCCCGCTTGCACCGTCGCAGCTTTAGAAAAACCTGCTCCCGCAGTCCCCACCGCTGCCCAAAACGAGAAACACATGGTGTAACCGAACAAAGAACCGGATACTCCCCGTCGACCGGCGCGAGTGATCACGTGGCCCTCCCTTCCTTTCTCGGCGTCTGATTGGTCTACCGTAACGCGGCGCTTGGGAAAGTTGAGCCAGTCTCTACTCATCTGCGTCGCGCTACAGGATGTTGAGGGACGGTGGGCGTCGTAGCTCAAGCAACCGCTCCTGGACGCAGGGTCTCCGATCCCCATTCAAAAGCTTTCAAATGCAAATGTTCGTATGGGCCTTAAAGCACCGCAAGTAAGTAGAAACGTGCTCAACATCCAGTGCAGCTGCTCTTGCCGAGTGTTCTGTAGTCCGATCACGAGCCGAGAAAAAAATATATAAAAGGAGGGTTACTTGCTCGCCTGCTCCCATCGGCGATGTGCGTCCGGTTTTCCGTTCGGAGACGGAGCTTGCTTTTGCCTCTTGTGGAGCGAGGGTTTTAGGGAAAATGGTTATTCCTGGTTATCTCGCAGCAAGCGAGACCTCCCCGAAAAAGTGCCCACGCCGACGCTGCAGGTGGGCGCCGCCATGTAGCTGTGGTTTTTACTTACAATTGTTGAGCCGCAAGCGACGGTAGCGCGTGTTTATTGGCTCTTGACAGAGGTCGACTGCGTTTGAACGCAACTGTGTACAAGTTTTGTCCAAACGCGCTCCGCAACGTTCTGCGGCCACCTGCAGAAACTGAATGCACCGCGCTCATACACATATGTGTCTATCGGCCTTGACATTTTCATCGGGTGTTTTGCGAACCGCGGAGTATTCTTCGGAATTTCATTCGCGCGCGAATTTTGCTCTAGGACCATGGCGGTGGTGCCCCAACTCTTGCATGAAAATCGCGTGGAATCCACTTGGCGGTAGTTACAGTTTCCCCGAACTTTTGTTCTGAACTACAGAATCTCCAGCCCAGTTGCTAATTTCGGAGGGTGCTTCGGCGTTCTTCCAGGGATGGGACGACGTCAGCTTTCACGGATCTCCCCAGATACCGACCCCGAACATGGATGTTCTTGCTGCCGACGGAATCATCCTCAACAACTACTACGTTCAACCACTCTGCACACCATCGAGGGTGGCGCTCCTGTCGGGAATGTTGCCCATCCACACTGGTATACTCTCGATTGCGGGCAATTGGTTTTAAATGATTAGCTCTCGTAATGCCAAAATCCCGTGAGCGCGCCCATGGATAGCCTCGATGGAACGTGAAATCATGGTGACACGTCACCTTACATCACGTGAACCACGTGATGCCGTGACGTCGGTTGACGTTTTGACGGTACATTGTGACGTAACGTCACGGGACACCGTGACGTCATGCTACCACATGAGGCCACCTGGCGTCGTGTTGCGCAACATAACGCCTCGTAGACTGTAACGTGAGCTGACGCCTTAACGTCACAGTTGACCTATAAATAATATTCATTTAGAGCGCCTTTGTGTCATACCAGAAAATGCAGTGTTGTATACTGTCAGCAGTATTAGAAGCGATATCTTTCAGTTGCAGCCTGTATTGCTGCTTTTGAGAAAATATAATTTAAGTGATTTTACCCCTTCGAATGGGAACAACTTACGTCCCTTGACGTGATTGTGAATCTGTTATACTACGGCCGGTCTAGAGTAAAAAGGCTCACTTTTCTACGGCCTTTACATGGGGGAAGTTCCTCCCTGGCACCGCATCTCGGCGTGGTCGCTACGCCCCCCCCCCCCCCCCCCCCCCCCACTCCCTTAAGAGTAACTGTATAGGCTCTGCTCGTAGAGCGAGAGTATTACGGTCCTTTCCATTTTGCCGCCAACTCTGTTCACGGAGAGACATTCAGTTGAGCAGAGCTGTTTCCAATATTCGAGCGGGAAAGGGACTTTGCAGGCGTCGAGTTTCAGGTGAAGCACGTTTCTCGATTCGCTTTTGCGAAATATACATCTTACACTAAAATCAAACAAACTGGAAGGCTTCTTGACTATTAAACCGTTTGTGTCGCCACTTTGTACTGTATAATCGCGTTTGTATTGTAACCCGTGCGAAGTTTTAAAACATGTTTCTAATGTCTGGGAAGCAGGCGACACAAAGAAGGATCGCGTTGCTCGCGTTGCAGCGCTCGCTGAGCGATAAGCAATATGCCACCGGCACATCCGCGTACCTCTGACCAGACAACAACGTGCAGCTACGGCTTCCTCGTAAACCGAAAGAGAAGTGATGACGTTTTTGGTCGGCCTCTTTGGTCTGCCGAGGGCATAGAAAGAACCAGGAGACAAACGAAGGGAGGACAGCGCTCACGCGGCGAGTCGCCGCGCTATATTTTTTGCTCCTCATGCCGCAGCACGCCGCCTCACAGCCGAGCCAGATGCGCCTCCTTGTCTTCTGCAAAACCGACGGTCGCGTCTCACAACGCAGCCATGGGTCAAATCAAATGAAATTAAATCAAATCTTTATTTTCCAGAAAATTTTAGGGATCGCCAGACAAAAAAGCTCTTAACAAACAGCTTTACTGAGTCTGGGATCCATTTACATAGGCAGCAGCTATGACGCTCAAAAACACATGTTACATAAAAAAAGAGTCACAACAAAAAAATTTAATTTAAAATCGCACCACAGGAAGCGACGCAGAGTAAAAGCGGAAGTCTTTTTTTATTTAACGTGAATATGTTTATGTTGATTCTGATATACTTGTTCAATAAACATGGTAAATTATAATGTAGTGACTGAAAGATATAGTTTGTGCAAGGTCCAGGAAGCAGATATGTTTCCGTACGGCGTGTGTTATCATTACTTTCGTTCATTTTATGTCCTAAAAATTTACAAGAAATTTGCCAGTGCCTCAGGTGAGAAAGAAATCGCCTAAGGTAAACGTTATTCATACATGCTCCCAACACAAAGTAGCGCTCATTGAAGCTGTGTCGGGCACTCTTACGTATTTTGAAACGGCACAAAACGTTGTACATGATCGTAGTCAAATCTCAAGCTACCAAATAAGTTACGTCGGGGTACTCACACCCTATCACCGAGCGTCCTGTGGGCGCTGCCATCCTGTTGCCTAATGGAGAGCTTACTCAATGGGCGACAATTACGATTCAGAAACGCGCCTACCTTATCTTTAAGGAAATGTGTCAGAACTAAGACAATTCTGCTTCGTTCTATCGAGGACTGTTTGATTGTTTCTGTAGAACGAAAATCCGTTTAATACGATTTCAGATATGGCTTCATACTACCGGCAACAATGATTTTGGGCAACAAGATGGCTGAAGGGCCGATACTTTCAAGTGCAATTATAATATTATTTTCAAGATGTGTTTTATACAGGACATAACCATGCCATTTTGTTTTAAAAAGATAAATGTATCATAAAAAAAAGACGTTCGCATCTCGCTTTTTCGATGCTTCTGTCGATATTTGTTTAATTTAAGTTTTAGGTCAGAACAAACACATAAAAAGACTGTGTCGTGAATTATTTGCTTCCTGGGTGCGGATGTTGTCGCCATTGACAGTTTGTTTTCCAGGCCAGGAACACTTCGTGCTTAGTCCCGCCGAGGCAGGTGGTCTGCCACTGCGGTTCCGGATTATGCCGCAATACTTCAGGGACCTGGGCTACGAGACGCATATGGTCGGCAAGGTGATTTCAACGAATCATATGCGTACACGATCAGATGTCTGACCTGGCTTTGATTGAGGCTTGTGGACGCTTGAAATATACGCAATACCTGTATTTGCCACAGAAACCGTATGCTCGGGCTCTGTCGTGCGATGTCTCGCTTTGATGTTTATCGAGGATTATTCTGAGTTTTGCTTCCGATCCGCGGAAATATCTTTGTTGAAGAGATACTTACGTTTTTGAAAAACAAACAAAAAGCTTATGTACCCATGCGATCGATATCCTTACTAATTGAAAAGGCACATGAAATAATCGGCAGTCTTCCCAGTGAAGAAATCATAGGTCAATTAGATGGTTGGCGAGTCTTGATATTGTTGTGCACCATACTTCCTTGGTAAAAAAGAACCTAAGTTGTATTTTTGTTTTCTTGTTTTTAATATTTTCCAAGTGAGGAGAACATTTTGTGCCCAAAAAGAGCGCGAAAGACAAGGACAAGGGGATGACCGGACAGAACAAGAGCGACTACTTATTATTGTCACCTAATTTTCTTGTTTTCTACTCGTCCTTGACGTTCGCTCTAACTGTTTTGAGATATTTTATAAACTGTGTTCTTATAATGATTTAAATGTTCTGTGTTTGTATTACGTGTATAAAATAAGGGAGATGGTTTTGAACCACTTAGAATTGCAAAGTCCGTTGATAAAACTACGTAATGTTTAGGATTCCTTTACATTGATTTTCTGTATTATTGGATACCAGTGGTATGGCTGCATATATTTTTTTTCAGTAGGGAATGCATTAGTCTACTATGGCTAGCACTATAAGAATAGAATTCCTTTCGTTCATTAAGTAAACGGTGTCTTAGCAGCATTACCCCTACACTGCTAGTACCTTCATAAATTTCGTGATTCATTATCTCGACATGTATCCTCTCCCTTGTTCTGGAATTATGATACTGCGACAGTGATAAATTGGGTTGCCTTGTTGCCTCCCAGTCGTAAGTTGCAGTACACCTGTGCACGTTGCATACATCCTGCCTGAACATTGTTTTCTACTATTCATTTACTTTTGCGGAGGGGTCAGAAAGCGTAATATGTGAAACCTCTGCACAAACTCACCTTGTTTTTAGTATATATATGTACAGCATTCTTAGACCTGGTTTTTAATAGCGTGTCCTCAGACAAAGTATTTCGATGACAAGTAATATCTGATCACATAAGGAATGAGAATGTCTCCACTAAATTACACAGAATGTTTTGGCATTCGTTATAAATTATTGATGTTCCTGAAAAATAAATAGAGAATATACTGTTTAATAAACTTTGAGCCGACGTTTTAAAAGGAATTACTAAAGCTACGATTCCCATATAAGTGGAACTCGTAGCTGCTAATGCTAACATCAATATATTGCTCTTTTTCGAAAGCTTGCCAGTTGAGTTGCGAGTGGTTAAGTTTGTTTTCTAAAATTAGTGTCTGATACTTTGATATTTATAAAATGCATCTTCTGAAAAATGCTTAATGTGTCTTATTAAATGTTTATGCACACCTTCCAAATGACGAAGGGGTTGTTAACGTGGCAAAGGTTTTTCTTAAAACAGCTTGCAAGCGACACTTCAAATATACATATATCTGCTTTGTGGTTGTCTCCTACTTTATGCTTTATGAGGTGTATTGATCAGTAAAAGATATAAAAAATATTAATTTTGTTGTCTGGATATTAATTTGCATAAGCAAAATGTTCTTGGTTGCTGTATGTGCGTCTTATTCTTTGAAATGCAGTTCATTTACGTAATCGCGTTATCTATTGTGATCTTAGTTTAACGTTATCAGGAAGTTTTACAACAGCGGGCCCCGACGCTTTGGGTCCCCCATACAGCTTGGGACGTTGCACTGCCTCTGCTCAGCACTTATGCGCTTCGGAATGCGGCACCCCAAGCTGCTCTGTGGGCACAAAGTTGTGGAGCCCCCTATTATAGAGCTGCATGTCGTCATGTCGTGAACACTAACAATTGCCCTCCAGCGTTTTTCCCTTTCAATGCCTTAAAAACAGATACATTACTTTTTGTCTTTCAGTGGCACATCGGATATTCCAGTAAGGAGTATACGCCGACGTTTAGAGGATTTGACAGCTTCTACGGTTACTATAATGGCGCAGAAGATTACTACAATCACACGATAGAATTTGTAAGTCATAATAGCATAACATTCCCGTTGTCCCACTACCATTTCGAATTCGACTAATCAACAATTATTTGAAACAGTAAGAAACTTTCTATAAAATTGTAAACATGTCTTTCCAAATGACGACAGCGTAAATAGACTTGATCTTGTTTCAAATAATCCGCTATGAATAGGTACAATTGATTGTATTGAATGACAATAAGCTTATAAATCTACAAAAATTTTTAACTACAGCAAAATCAGACTGGGCTCGACTTTTGGCTGAACATGACACCACTGTTCAATGAAACCGGAAATTATTCAACTACTCTCTACACGGAACGAGCCAAGCTGCTCATTCGAAACCGGAACACTGCGAAGGTAAGGCATGTATCTATTATTCTATGCAAATGCCCGAAAGCCGTATATTCTTTTACAGCGGTGCCGCTAGGTGCCCCGTCCCACCAGAAAATACTGATGTGTATTACGCACTGACTCATTCTACAGCAGAGGCATTGCTCCCCTTCTCCCCATCGTTCCTTACCTACTGCAAAGATTTCTCTCAATGCCTCCCTTCCTTTTCCCTATAGATGCCGCCTTTCTTTTTCCCGGCGACGCTCTCCCTCTCGTCCCCTTCCCATACCCTCCGGTAGCCGTCGGTGCGAAATTCCCACGTGGTCGCGCTTTGCGGACACGCACTCTCGCCTCCCCACTGCCGCCGCCCCGGTTCCGTTCCTGTGTACTCTCCGCGCCTCAACCGAACAGCTCGCGTACGTGCTTTCGACTAAACCCCCGCTGGCGCGGTCACGGGCGCTCCCGTTCTCAAAACGCGTTTCTGCCTAAAAAAAGACGTTTTTGTGGCCCTCTTCAATACCTGCTACATCTCGCACAGTTGTCCCACCAAAACACACATCTCCTCACTAACGTCTCCTACATAGAGATGCAATAGTTCGTGAAATATTGGATTTCCCGAAAAAAAATTTTTTTCCGTTTTTTTTAGGGAAAATTGGAAATTCGGAAAAAATTGAGATTGCTGCGTGACAGGGTTGGGCAGAAATACTCGAAAATGTATTAGGAAATACGAATACTGGGATACATTAAAATGGTAGCTGAAATAGTGATTCTGAAATATATCTGTAAAGGTGTATCGCGATACGTATAGGAAATACATTTTAAATAGAGGCGAAAAGTATTTGGAAATACAAATATAGGAATACAGTTTAGGGAGGGCTGAAATACAAATACCAAAATACTGATACTGCCATACATTTTTCAAATGTTTTGAGTCGCCAAACGAGATGAAGCTTGAAGTTGAAAGTGGAAGTTTTTGATTCTGAAATTACTTTCCCGTAGGACTGGCACCTTGCCTTGAAGGTAGTGATTTCGGACGACCAGGAGTCTTCAGTGGGTTCGAAAAAACGTTCCATCAAAGACTGACCGTGGTCCAATCTCTGACATCCTGTCTCTCTGACGAATGATGCGAAAAGACTTCGACCTCTGTATAAATTCTTTGTCATCCTAAATTCCATCAAAATGTCACCATGCCCCTGTCCATTAAGGACGCCCCTGTCAACATTTATCACATGACGTCACGGTGGAATGAACTGGTATTCTTTGTCTGTAGGTGTAGCCTTGAACGTGAAACTTTACCGCTCTGTTGTATGAAAGGACAATACGTGCTTTCGTTGTAGGTTGCCTCGTTGAAGATCATGTAGGCAGTGTCATTTGGAATTTTCGAGAATAGTGGACCACCTGAAGCATCCTGCAACACATGTCTTCTGTTACGGTTGATAAAACGATACGGTGGCATTCCTGTTGTGAAGGTCCTTCCTACCAAACCTTCGCCACCGACGAATGGATTGCAGTCCTCAAGTTTCGTCTTGCATACTCCGGATAGAGACCTCGTGGATTGCGACCTGATATTGCCGGCACAGGTGCGAGCTCTCGGAGAAACAGCACGCTCGAGACGAGTCGCAGGTATACGAAGTCTGGGTCGGCACAGCGAGGCCACGTCTGACCTACGTTCTGGGTTTCGGATCACCAGAGCAGCGGGTCACTTTCACGTCGGCTGATGACGTACCCTTGAATCGTGCAATAGCAATATCACGGGTGCAGCCGCAGACGCATTCGAATATGTGTTGAACTTCACTGCGTGAGTGATCCTACTATTTCAAGTCAACCACTGCCAGGCTCCTGCTGCAATGGACTGTGAATCTGTTTTGCCGGCTGGGTGCACTGTGTAAGCTAGGGAAAAAGACACGGTTAGCAGGGGGTTGGATGCTAGCAAACAATGACTCAAGAAACCCCTACCTAAGGACCTGCGGCACAAGATGCTCCGACTCCACTTCTGGCACGCCACCTGGTTCGAGTCCCCGACTACGCAGCACTTCTCAGAAGAGAGAAGAGGACGCATAGAAAAATAGTTTGGAAAATTAGAAGGAACCTTGGTCAGCATGGTAACAATGCCCCAGAATCTCCTTTACCCTAATGTCCTCAAAAGTAAAAAAAAAAAAATGCATTAAGATTTTTTTTTTTTTTTTTTGGGGGGGGGGGGGGGGTATTTTCCAAGAGATGTAACTAAATACATTTCACCCTGATTGTATTGCGATACAAAGAAACATTCAAAACGTATTTCAGTAGAGGAATACAGATACTGGTGAAAAAAAAGTATCGCGATACAGAAATACTGATACAAAATGTATTTCTCAAATACTATCGCGATACATTTGTATCGCGATACTGCCGAACCCTGCTGCGTGGACGCATTTATTACATCGACACAATATGATAAGGCAGGACCATTTGGGAAGTTTCAATAACTGAAATTCTTCAAATTAAGGTGTATGTAATATCAACAGCTTACCAAGGCGAAATACCATATTTTGGTAAGGCTAAATAGCGTTGCATATGTTCCCGAGCACTTGTTATTCCGAGTCGGAATCGCTGGTTAAAGGAAAACTCGCGTTCACGTTGGTCGAAAATTTTTTCAAGTTCAGATACATAGCACATACAGAAGTTTCTTCACACGCTCACGTGCAAGCCGGTTGCGCAGTTTTGTGTGTACATTCCCAAACTGAGACCAGTTTTGTTCACGCGTTTCAAACAATGGGGGAATCTGCAAAAGCCGACATGCCAGGAATATCAATGGCTGGTTAGTGCAGAGTCCTTGCCACCGGGGGGTGGTTCCACATGCTTCGCAGACTCCCAAAGTGCTGCCCTGGACAAAATCTCCGTAGCCGCCCTATATTCTGCGAGATTAGAAAGCAGCTTCCCGATGTCAAGCGAAAGGTACTCAGCCTGCTTTGAGATCCAGTCAAATGTGTCTGCAATTTGTGCGTCATCAAGGTTCCTTCCCCTATATCTTGCATCCAGCAAGTTAGCAGCGACATGAATGGGTCGCAAGCAAAACTCCTTGCGCCTGCTCATGATTTATTTTGCGCGAGCCTTCTCCTGGTCTGTTAAAGTGCTGGTCGCCAGCTTCGTGATCACTTTGGTTTTATGGCTTCCAATTATGTAATGGAAGAGGGAACGGGTGTCACCAGTTTGAAACAGCGGCACAAGGGCTTCCAGAATCTATCCTCGTCCAACATTGCTTGCCGCACTGATTTGTTTACTTTCAGATCTTCCAAGATCACGGTCTCTTTCAGAGCTTCTTTGTTCCTGAGCAAACTTTGAAGTGAAAGGGTAACGGCGCCCCATCTTGTCTTGCTGGGCAGCTTGAGGGTCGTGGAACTTCCTTTGTTATCTATGGACTCTTGCTTTTGTTGGAACGTGGCAGCAACTCCTTGAGTCTGCTTCACATACTTGATCACTTCTCTGGATGTCTGATGTACCTTCTCCAAGGTTTTTAGCCTCATGAGATCATTCAGGAGCAGATTCAGCCCGTGAGCAGCACATCCGATCGTTGCGATGTGCGGAGATTTGCTTGTAACCATTTGACATGCCGCTTGCATGTTGCTAGCGTTGTCCGCGACCAGTGCCACTACCTTTTCACTTTCGACGGAATCAATGACATCCCATATTTCGCCGCTGATAAAAGACGCAGTGTGCCGGTTTGTGCCTGTTCCAACTGACGTGTAGAACACTGGCTGCGGCGTAGCTACGACAGAGTTTATCACCGATTCTTCTCGAATGTTCATTCACTCGAATGTTCATTCAGGCACGTAGCGTCTTTCAAAGTCTCCTCCACATGACTTTTCACCCGCTCATACTCTGCGTCAAGTAGAGGCCCGCTCAATAGGTATCGGCTAGGCGGTGTGTACGATGGTCGAAGCATCTTGAAGGCCGCTTGCCAATGCTCGTTTTCCGCTAAGGAGAATGGTACAAAGTACAAAGGTATTTGCACTTTCTGTATGTTCGTTAATTTTTATTTACATCCTAGTAACTCTAGAAACAGCTCCTACCATATAAATAGCAATGTAAATATTTCTGGGGCTCTTAGGTTGTATCAAAACTATTCTCCATTTACTTGAGCTTTGTCTGAATCATAACAACAACGCAAGACAACAACACGCATAGGACACACACTTAAGAGAAAAACAGCGGTGACTTACAACTTAAATATTTTTGGGGTTCATCTGCGCAAGGAACGAGACGGATAGTAAAACTGCTTCGTACTCTTCGTCTGGCGTGAGATGCGCAACAATATTTCCCGTATCTCACTGGCATCTCATCCCTCCAATTGCCAAAAAAAGTTTCTTTTTGTTTCGTAACGTCCAGAATGGGGCACTGACACTAGCATCTTTTAGCCGTGCAATACCTTCAGCCTCAATGATATCGCTAGTGAGCTTCTGGCTACTTCTGCCTATCACAAAAAATAAAAATAAATCGCGTAATGCCAGTCTCACACCCGCAATCGTGACAGTATAGACCTAAATGTGCGGAAATCACTCTCTGGGTATTATAGTAAATGTTCTCTTAACAGTTTGCTCAAGCAACGTCAGTTTGCATTGTATATTGCTTGCCACATGAAGGAGGAACAAAATAAAGAGCATCGTCCGTGCAAGAAAGAAACTTTCTGCGTTTGTTTTTGTGCAGCGTGTTTGCTAGTTGTTATAATGTTAACTCTTATGGTTAAACTAGACAGCTTGTAAAGGGCCGAATAACTACCTTCAGAGTTCCTCGGTTCCCGATCTTTTCTAGCGCATGGGATACGTTATGAATATAGGGCATGATTACCAATCTTCCTTTTTTTTTGTCTCTACCTGGCTATTGGTGACACCACCTCCTTTTATATTTTTCAGAATGTTTTCAGTCACGGATCTTAATAGGGACTAGGGATACGTGGTAGCCTGCTGTAACGAGCCGCAAAATCTAGTCTTCGAAACTGCATGCGGACAAGATTTTGTCAAGGCTTTTAAAAAAAAGTAACTGCAAAGAAA